ACTGGCCAAAAGACCTGCATCCGGAAAAATCCAATGGTGTTCAAGTTCATAGATCTGTATCCAGATCGGTATATTGTATCGCATCGTATTGCATATCATATTAAAATAAAATCAGTCAAAGATCCCATCTGTAATCATCTGCATACTACCCTGTACCTTTGGCAGGTACAAATATATCACCACCGTTGTAACATTGCATGAACAGCAAACTTTTATTTCTCTTCTGTGACAACGAACACAGTACACAGCTTTTCAGCAACTATTATGCCTATACTTATCTAGCCATGTTATGGCTGACTGAAGTAACTTAACTATCCCTTATAGCATGCACTTTTCTATAACTCTCTTTGGGAGTTTGTGCCTGGACAAGTGAAAAGTAAATGTACAATGTAAATGTTTGTTTTGTGAAACTATTGATTGGATTGCCATGATAGCTGAAATTAGTCCAATACTACTGGTGTGTGTCCAAATCCCTGCAAAACTAATGACACTCCCATCAACCTCAGCTGTATTTTGTTTTTAGTGCTTATTATGTTCATGTTAGCATGTTAAATATTATACCTGCTTAACATAATGTAAGCATTATCTTTATGAGCATGCTAGCTGAGCTGTGTCTAAGTAATACCTTCCAGAGCTGTGTTGAACACAGAAAAACCTTTATGTTGCATTTGTAGATTAACATATAAAGTTAAAATGTATGTTTGAGATCAGTCTAAAAAGTGTACACATTCCTACTAGATATGACTAAAAATATTTGAAAATTAATAGAGGTTTTGTTTTGTTTCCACAGCTGAAAGCAGACAAGGAGCAGCATGCCATGTTTGCTGTGTTCGATGAGAATAAGAGCTGGTACCTGGATGAAAACATTCGCCAATACTGTGATCGATCCAAAGTCAACAAGGCAGACCCAGACTTTTATAAGTCCAATGTTATGCATAGTGAGTTTTACCATAATTAGATGATACTATATGATATGCATTGCTTTCATCTGCCTGTCAGGCGACTAATAGTATTCATGCAAATTTCCTTACAGCAATTAATGGTTATGTGTTTGAGAGCGGCCCACTCTTGGGCTTCTGCAATGGTGAGGTTGCAACATGGCACATGTCCAGCATTGGAGCACAGGACTACATCCAGACAGCTACTTTCTACGGCCATACATTTGAGCTGAATGAACGCACCGAGGACATGCTCAGCCTCTACCCCATGACTGGAGAGACCATCAATATGAACATGGACAACATTGGTCAGTCAGGGTTTATAGTGCCTTTTTTATATCAAACTGTGTATTGTGTATGCAAATATTAAATCTATAGGGATCATTCAAACAAAAAAACATTGTGACAAACTGTACTACTGTTTATATATAAAAGCTGTTGATATTAAGTGCTAATCTGACAGCGCCGTTGTTGGAAACTGTTTGAAAAAAGACAGGCGCTTTCAAAAAATATTCGGCAGGTGATTGGATGAACCATCTGTCTATCACCGTCTGTCATGGGTGAACTTCAACCAATCAGATCAACAAACCATATAATGTAGTCAAACTGTCAGTCAGGAGAATCTTTTCCATGGAAAAAAGCCTTCAGTGCCATTATTTCCTCTTCTTTCAATAAAGAAATACTGATAGAACTGCATCTCTGCTAACCTCTTTAGCAGCCGCCATTGTTGTTTAACAAACACGCTTTCTGCTGGGTCACACCTAGCACCTAGCACCCACCCCCATAGCTGCCAGTACTTCCTCAAAAGATGCTGATTGGTCAGCTACCACTGTATTGGCCACAAATGCATAGTCTAGCAAGATAGATTTTCATCTGATTTTGTGATCAATAGAGACTATTGATAGTTAACAATCGTTTTTTAATGGTCTTTCATGGATGATTTTTGTTTGTCTCTCTTGAACCAGGTGTCTGGCTCCTGGCCTCCCTGAATTCCCACGAGACAACCAAAGGAATGCGTGTGAAGTTTCAGGATGTTGAGTGCTTTCGTGACTACCAGTATGAGTATAATGACTATAAAGAACAAGATTTTGATTTGTGGAAGCCTCCAACCTGGGAAGACATTGACAAGAAGGAAGAGAAGCCAGAAACTGCAAAAGAAACGCCAGTGGAGATAGATAGTTACACAGAAATGTTTGCAGATGAACTGGGTCTCAGGTCCCTAAAGAACCAATCTGGTAGTTCAGATGTGGAGTTGCTGGACCTCTCTTTCCTTGACTATGATGCTATTGATGTGCCTGATGGAGATTCAAATACCACCCTTAATTTCACAGAGTCAAAGAATAAAAATGAGACATCTATTCAAAAGCCAAATGCAAAAAATGAGACATTATTCCCAAACTGGAAAGAGGTGGATGGACTAAACCTTAAGCCCCAAAATATCAGTGAGAATACAACACATATGCTGAACAGTAGTACGACATCAACTTTTGACAGTTCTTCTCTGAATAAAACAAAGAACACAACTGCTTTATATAGCCCAAATATACTGCCAAAGAACAACAGTATAACTATAAATAGCAGTGTTTCCGTAGTTGTCTCAAATGTTGATAATATTACTGTGTCTGACCAAAAGAACACAACAATTCCCAATGCTACAGGTTCATCAACGGTTGGAAATGTGTCTACAGAGATTACCAATCATACGGTAGCATTACAAGGAAATTCCAGTTCCATCTTGGAGAATGAACAAATGAATGCAATGGTGACTGGCGATAATCAGACTTCTGTGGGCACGATCTTGGTGGACGACCCCGAGGAGAGACTCACCAGAGGGGATGTGTTCTCTTACTCTGCTGTACTGTGGAGACTGCTGATGCTGGAATTGGATAGAGCTACAGAGGGCAATGTTGCCTCTCTGTCAAAAAAAAAAGATGACACAGCAAATAACCATGTTAACGTGTCAGCAGATGGAACAAACCATTCGTTGTCTATTCCGACGGCTGATGTTGGAGAGGTTGACATCAACAGCAGGAGCAACTCAACCATCTTTGGGTTAGAGATGGAGGGCACAGACAACAAAACCAGTGACAATGACTCTCTAATTGCCACAGCAGAGCCAGATAATGGACTTCAAATGAATTCCTCTGAAATTAGAACTATTACAGCCAATTCCAGCCTTGAAAATGTGACACATATGTTGCTCGAAACTGGGCCCTTTCCGAATTTCACAGTGAATGTATCCAGATTAGATTCATCAGAGGGGATTAGTTTGGAGGGTAGGGACAAGTTGAACCACACATCCTCTTTAGAGAGTTTCTCCAATGAGACTATGACTTTAGGTAACCTGTACCATTCCAACGATGATGTAAGAAAGAGCAACTCTGACGAGCTAAGTGCCTCAGACAGCATTGAAGAAGTGTTTATCTACCTTAAAGAAAACAATACAGACTTGATTAAAACCACCTCTGTCAAAACACAGGGGCACAACTGGACTTATGAGGGAACTCACCATATTGTACCCATGGAGATTCCTGATTACATGATGAAATATTTTGGGAAAGAGACCCCTCAAACAACGCCAACCCCAAAAAAGACAAAGAAGGTGAACCTTCGACAGAGGCCACAGAAGGGCCAAGGCATGAAAACAAAGAAGAGGAAGGAATACAAGCCTCAGGCCAGGAGTGGCTTACCGTTTTCCCCTCGAGGATTCAATCCAGTCATGACCCCACGTGGGTCACGACCCAATGTTCCACAGCCTGTCTCTGATGAAGAGGAGCTCAATAACGTGCCTGTGGTCATCGGCGTGCCCCGGACGGGTTTCAGTGACTACGAGCTGTATGTTCCTGGGGATGAACCAAATCATCTAGCGTTGGATGAGCAAGATGTGAATGCAGATGAATATGAGTATGTGGTCTACAAAGACCCCTACAGCAGTCATGAAGACATCAAGAATCTCAACCTGGACGAGACCACTAAATACTACTTAAAACTCTCAGGCACAAATGTCAAGACTTATTTCATTTCTGCAGAGGAGGTTGAGTGGGACTATGCTGGCTACGGACAGAGGTAAGCTTAGAGATAGCAGTAAGAAAAGCTCATGTGACAATAGAAAAGACATGACTGTTCAGATTTCTTTGGAAAATTGTAAAGCTGTTACACATCCACACACATGCAAAGCTGAAATAAGGTTCTGTTATCACCACAGCAGGCTAGACAAGTCGCAACAAAACATGAGGCAGACCAAGTTTACCAAGGTGGTATTCCGAAGTTACATGGACAGTAGCTTTATCACACCTGACATCCGTGGCGAGATAGAGGAGCATCTAGGTATCCTGGGACCTGTCATCAAGGCGGAGGTTGGACAAAGCATCATGGTAAGTCTGTTAGCATCAGCTGCAAAGCCATAATCTGTATAGCTTTACTAGGATCTCACATTTTCAAATTATATTTTTTGTGTGAAGGCTTCAATATTATTTTTTGGTTTATATAAACTACATAATTTACATCTACAGTCTGGTTGTTGCTTGAGGCTGGCTCCAGCAGTCAATCTCCATATGGTTCCATATTAAAATGCACAACTTTACAGCGGAAATTAACATTTTTACAGACTGGTAAAAAAGTAATAGTAATTTCCCCATGTATGACAACTATACGGGTACATTTTTATATAACTCACAGTCTTTGATTAAATCTAACTTGTCTGATCTGTATAAAAACCCAGAGGGAAAAAACAACACATTTCATGAGGGGTTTGTGCTGGGCTATTTCTTGGCCAGGCACAGTCATGCAGGGGGATTAGCTCTTTCCCTTGTTTACAGTCTTTGTGCTAAACTAAGCTAACTGTTGTCTAGCTGTAGCTGCATATTTGTCATACAGACATAGGAGTTAGTTGATATTTTCATATAACTTTTGTCTAGTAAATCAATGAGTATCTATTCTAAAATGACTACCCAACCACACAATGTGTATTTTTGTCCTGTAGGTGGTGTTCAGGAACAATGCCAGCCGTCCATACTCCTTACACCCAAATGGTGTTTCCTATACCAAGCAGACTGAGGGTCTGTCCTACGAGGATGACTCTAAGTACTGGTATAAATATGACAATGAGGTGCAACCTGGGACCACTTTCACATATATATGGAAGGTCAATTCTATGGTTGGGCCAATGCCAGATGAGTCTAACTGTCGAACCTGGGTCTACTATTCAGGTGTTAATCCTGTGAGTAATTTGCACTTATACATTTTTGGACTTATAACTATATATTTCAGTATGGCAGGCATTGAAGAAATACTATTTACAAATACAAATTAAAGCCATTGTATGTAGACTTTGAGTTTGTGACTGTGGCACCAACTAGTAGCAGCATAAGAAAACAATATTTTCACCGGGCGGCTGTGGCACAGAGGCAGAGTGGGTTGTCCCCTAATCAGAAGGTTGTTGGTTCGATCCCTGGCTCCTGTCTTGGTGCCACATGTCGAAGTATCCTTGAGCAAGATACTGAACCCCAAATGCCGTGCATCGGTGTGTGAATGTGAATGACTTAGTTTCTGTTCGATGGACTTCATCACTGTGTGAAAGGGTGAATGTGGCACGTAGTGTAAAAGCACTTTGTGGTCGGAAGACTAGAAAGGCGCTGTACAGGTCTGTTTACCGTTTACCAACAGGGTGTGTAATTTTTCCATAAACTTATCATACATTTTTAGTGATGCTAAATCACATACAGGTTCTACACATAGAGTTTTGTGATACATTAAAGTATGTGTCTGGGTTGTGTATGCTCTGTTTCTTAGGAAAGGGATATCCACTCTGGCTTGATTGGGCCTCTGCTGGTGTGCCGAGAGGGCACCCTGGACAAAGGGCTAGCAGACATGAGGGAGTTCACACTGCTTTTCATGACCTTTGATGAGTCGCAGAGCTGGTACTTCGAGAAGAACCATGAGCTCATGCAGAGAAAAAGCAGAAGGAAAGTCATGGACCCCAACTTCAAGGAGAACCTCAAGTTTCATTGTAAGGCATCATGTACCTTTAACTAACCTGGTTGAACAATCAAGAATCATGTAGCATGTTAAATTACACAGAGGAAGTACCTCCTCCATCATATCACTGGGTCAAAATACAGTAAAATTTAGTTGCAATATCTTTTCTTCCATGCATTTGAGACTTGTCAGTTACAGAACAGAAAAACAAAGACACCTGACCAGAAATGATAATGATAATGATGTCTTTTTGTCTGCTGTTTCCAAAGCCATTAATGGCATTATATACAACCTGAAGGGCCTGAGAATGTACACCAACCAGCTCGTAGGCTGGCACCTGATCAACATGGGGTCCCCCAAAGACTTTCAGAGTGTCCACTTCCACGGACAGACGTTCCTCTACAAGAAGACCACCAGCTACAGACAGGCCGTTTACCCACTGCTGCCTGGTGAGCAACATAATCTTTGTTTGAAAAGGAAATTCAGATATTTATGCTTAAGCAGGGTTGAGCAAGTTCTTGGCTGAGTATCAGGTACAGATAATGTACTGTCATCAGAGTATCATCAGAGTTAAATGTGTCAAAATATCAACTTTTAGAAAAAGGCTGTTCTGTAAATAGTTTTCAAATAATTATAGCAACTACAGATCAATTAATATCAGTTTCAAGCACAAATGAAAAACTTCCAGTTAGGCCCGCCCACCAGTTTAAGATCAACCCACGTCAGTTTTAAGCCTCACCCATAGTGAGTACAAATACTGAGTACTGAGTTTTGCATAGAAGTCACACGCTTCAGTATCAGTATAAGTGACAATACCTCAAAACTACTGGTTATATTTGATGTCAACAATGTAGCAGAGACAGTGTGTTTTAACTTAATAACTGTACCTAACTGTCTTTGCAGGAAGCTTTGCCACTCTGGAGATGTATCCATCCAAACCTGGCTTGTGGCAGCTGGAGACCGAAGTTGGTTTCAACCAACAGAAGGGCATGCAGACTCTCTTCCTAGTTCTAGATAATGGTACAAACAATGAAAAAAAATACTCTCCATCATTTACACATTTAAGTACACTGACACACTGTTACGTATGTTATGTTTTAATATCGAGATATAAATTGTATGTTCTTCCAAGACTGCTACCGTCCGCTGGGTCTGGAATCAGGCAGTGTGAAAGATGACCAGATTACAGCAATCAACACTAGAGGTAGTCATACCTCCTCCTGTCTGCACCCATTTGTTTTTGGCAACAAATACATTCTGGTCCTACAATGCTACATTGATTTGTGAAGTTTTGCATTGAATCTTTATATGCAAATAAGTGAAAAATGAATGAATTGGTTTCCATCTTTGAAGGAAACTGGGATCCCCATCTTGCCAGATTGAACAATCAGGGTAAATACAATGCATGGAGCACAGAGGAGACCTCCAGCTGGATTCAGGTATGTGTTGTAGGCGTAATAAATGTGTGACTAGATCTGCATATGTGCACTTGCTTTCTATGTGAATACAATCTGCTACCTTTGGGCTTCCCTCTGTACAGGTGGACTTCCAGAGGCCAGTTGTGATCAGCCAGGTGGCCACCCAGGGAGCCAAGCAGCTGTTCCAATCCCAGTATGTGGTCAATTACTCTATCTCCTACAGCACCGATCGCCGGAAATGGGTCTTTTATAAAGGCGAGAGCAGGGACCTCAGGAAGGTGGGGGAAGTCAGATCATCTACTTGATCAAAGCAAAAATCTACAAACTCAAAGAGAAGTGTGTGATCACCTTATTTCTCTCTGTCTATCTCTCATATTGCACCAGATGTTCACTGGGAACCAGGAACCCTATGAGACAAAGAAAAACACCTTCTTTCCTCCCATGGTTGGACGGTTCATTAGGCTCCATCCTATCAACTGGTACAACAAGGCCACAGTCCGCATGGAGTTCTATGGCTGTGAGCTTGATGGTAAGATGTTACTGTATGTGTGTGTGGATGTGGACAAGTCAGAACGCAAGTCATCATACATTTTTGAAATACTTTATATCCATTTATACACTAGTAGCACCTCCCTAACACCTATTTCTTTGAACTGATCGCTAAACAGGGTCACAATCCCAGCCCTCTCCTTAGCTCTCTGTTTTATGTCATTTTAGACCCATCTCCAAGCTGTCGTTTTTATTGAAGGTTATGGGGGAAAAAATCTCCAAAAACTTTATTTCATGAGCAGCAATCAGACTGCTCTGGTCAAGGTCACCAATGATTTACCAATTGCAGCTGACTTTAGGAGGATCTATTGTCAGCTCTAATATAATATTCATAGGTATGATTTCATTAGTGTATAATCACCTGAATATGAGAATTATGTTTTGGTTACCATAGAATGAGCTGTTTATATATACAGATGCCACGGGTTGCCTTCCATGGAGCCTGCCATGTTGAACCACCATGT